TGATGATGATGATGATGATGATGATGATGATAATGATGATGATGATGATGATAGTTGTCACAATTTCCTTCACCGATGATTTGGGGAAGATGGGGTATGTTGCTGCACATTGAATGCGCGATCTGATACGATTGATGTGCTACTATAGGGTTTTCGGTGGACTTTTAATGGGGAAGTTTGGGAAGGGAGCTGTGCATTGAAGAAGATAGCTCGGATGCACGAGCATTTATGAGGAAGCGACTGGGCCATGTCTGACAATGTCTGTGAACATCGATCTGTCCCGTCTCGGGGTCGCCATCCACGGAGATGGCAATGACCAGCGCAGCTGAGTATACTGGTACTTGCTTTCATACTTCTCTGATAGTTCATAATTTGACCTCCCCTGGCTCGTTTCCACCATTCTTCTGGATACAGATGAGTGATATTTTAGCGCTGATGTTCAACATCTATGTTACTTTTGACGAAAATGATTGTGGGTCCGTATTCAAACCTCTGATTGTCCGTAGAATGCACATAAACGACTAAGAATCTACATGCATTCGTATATCAGTCCATGGAAGCCAGCAATTCATGTGGCATTCTCCAGCTCGTTTTTCTTCCGGTGCACTCGTTCCCCTCAGCGCAGTCATTTCCTCCATTCGACCCCATTCTGCACGATTCTCAGCCAGGATCTCCTGTTCCAGTCTGAAACCAACTGCTGACTATTCGAGCGTCCATAGTACTGCCTGAATTCTCAGTTCAGCCGTTCAGCGTAACACAAAATGGGTCATTACGTTATTCTTGTAAAATTCTTGCTTCACTGCTGCGTTAATCAACTGTAATTTGTGATTCTGTACGCAATATCATTAATTAAATTTCTCTGGACGTGACATGCCACTCAATGACTCGACGAAAAGCTTGACCATCCGACTGGCCAATAATATTTGCCTTTCTAGCTAATCGATAACTACGGCACTTCGAATCTCGGCTATCGATCGTGCGACACAAGAAGCAGTTACATTTCGGCAAGCTGTGTGGTGGGCTGCCATTCCGCTTCGGACATGGACATCTAACTTTGAAACTTGTGACGGCGCTACCGGGCGGAGATTCCACGGCCATATCAGTTTTAGAACCTATTACTTTCTTGACTGGTTTTTTCTTGGATCCATGTCTTACCGGAGTCAAATGCAAACGAATGCGCCAATCGCCAAAACCCAACCAGACAGTGCAATAAGTGAAGCACTCACAACTGTGTCTAATACGAACAGACCTGCAAATCAGAATGCATCTGGAGATACAGGGGACAATAATTCACCTTGTGAGCAGGCGAAAAAAAGCGGCGTTGATCAGTCTAATGTAGTAACGCATGGGGGGAAATTGGCAAGCGTACTTCAGGCTGCAAGTGCACCACATGCCTTGGCAACTTGCACAAAAGCATTTCCTTCTACGCCCCCAATAATTACCTCCAAAACCTCAGGACCAATTAATAACACAGCGGTAACTAACAGCCCTCCGGAGAACAAGACGAATTTAATCATCAACTACCTCCCCCCGAACATGAGCCAAGAGGAAGTGCGTGCTCTGTTTTCGAGCATCGGCGAGGTGGAGAGTTGTAAGCTGGTCCGGGAAAAGACATCTGGTGAGAGCTTGGGATATGCCTTTGTCAAATTCTATGATCCGGTGGATGCAGGAAAAGCTATAAAAACCCTTAATGGTCTGAGACTGCAGAATAAAACAGTCAAGGTGTCTCTAGCTCGACCCAGTTCGGAAGCAATCAAAGGCGCAAATTTGTATATTTGTGGCCTGCCGCGGAAAATGACGCAACCGGAGTTGGAGAAACTATTCAGCGCTTGCGGACACATTATCACTGCGAGGATATTGTACGATACGAAAACCGGCTTATCTCGTGGTGTTGCTTTTATTCGCTATGATCAGCGCACGGAAGCTGAGGCCGCGATTCGCAAACTGAATGGCTATCTGCCACCCGGAGCAACCGAACCCATTACAGTTAAATTCGCCAATTCTCCAAGCTCAAATCGGGCAGAAAACATGAGTTTGGGTTTAATGAAGTCCGCTGATGGTGATACAGTGTCCAGATTTGCTCCAGGCTGCGGCATTTCCACTAACGGCCCAGTTAGTCCACTTGCCGGAATTGATATGTCGCCTCCCCTGGACGGATGTAGTTCACTCTCATGTCGCTCGCAGAATATGATGCCCGGTATACATCCGCTGGGGCAACCCCGTCCATTTCCACCAGGACGTGGTACCAGCGATTCTGGGCAGAATGACCGAACTCCGCCCCCTGGGTTCGTTTATCAGGCGCACCGTCCAAACGTGAGTCACTCATGTACGATAGCCTGTAACAACACCTGTGGCTTTACCAACACCATCGAGTGCGGTCCAAACTCCAGTCCTTTGGTCGCACCGACCCCTAATTGTTTCTCACCCCAAGTGCTACCGAACAGCTATCCGCTTCCATCAACCCACGGTGGCCCGGCTGTGCGCCCCGATGGATCCATGTTTCAGCGTCCATCAGGAACAGGACGCCTGAAGTATCACACGGCAGCTGCAAATACAGCCACTGGTGTAAGTCTGCGATTCCCCAACAGTATGTTAGGCGGTTCAGTGCCACCGAATTTTCCCACAGGGCTACCCAGTTTTGGAATGGACTTTATGCGTAGCCTAGGTCCCAGTGCCCATGCACTTCTGGCGCCGGCATTTGCAGCAAGTTCAGGTGCTCTAACGGCCACTGGTTGGTGCATCTTTGTATACAATCTCGCTCCGGATACCGAGGAATCCACGTTGTGGCAACTTTTCGGACCCTTTGGTGCGGTTCAAACGGTCAAAGTTATTCGGGATCCACTCACAAGCAAGTGTAAGGGCTTCGGTTTCGTCACCATGAGTAATTATGAGGAAGCACTGCTTGCTATCCACTCGCTTAACGGATTCAATCTTGGCAACCGAGTACTCCAAGTTTCTTTCAAAACAACGCCAAATTCAAAACACATGAAATATACGCCTAATATTGCTCCCGAAGTTGCCATGGGGACGGGTTTACAGAGTTCACTCACTCCCGTGCCCAGTTCATTTGGAAAGCATGTTTGACGTACTACTTATTTTCATATAACAGTAGTCAAATATTTTCGCCGTTTTCAGAGTGGTCTGTAGGGTTCGTTATTGTTATTTTCTTGACCTGTTTGCTGCTTAATTTGGGCAAAAACCACTGTGGTTCCTGACTGCCCAAGTGTGATAACCGACACTTATTGTCCCTCGTTATTATTCGGCATCCACGGAATGTCTCAGTTAGCCGATTGCAATTCATTCCCTGACGAACAGTTCACAATAATTTCACTTTAATTTGGTGACTACTTTTCTATTCTCTCCTACGTCAGACATTTCACTGTTTACTTTACTCCAAAGGTTTATTGTTTTCTCTTCGAAAGCGCAACCGATCTCGTTTGCGCGGATGCCTGAGCTTCCAATTTTTGCCTGATCTCCGGTTATTGCTCATTCTGACTTAGCCGATCCCATACCATTATTCATAAACTTATTATCATTATTCATAAATACTTAATTACTGAAAATGAGAACCAAAGTACATTGAGTGTCATGTTTTCTCCAAATCGTTTTTTTAAACTGGACCCTCAATCAACAAATCAAACAATCAGCCAATTCGTCATTCCTTCAGTAAGTTAGCTAGTTACTTCATTGATCAGTCATTGAATCCATCAACCAGTGTATCGTCATGCCATAGAGTATTGCCATCAGTCTCTTGTTTTTTTACCAAAGAGGAAGCCCATTGTTGGCTCCAAAGTCTCGATTTGACAATGGTGTCACTAATTCAAGTTGAATGATTTTAGATTGACTAGATCATCCAAGAAGAATCTCATTTTACCGAATAGGTCTGAAAGTGCAATTGTCAGTCACAAGCGGTGCCTCCTGTACACTTAGTGTCTCTCGATTTTTTAATAAAATCATCGGTGAACGAAACTGTGGCAGCTACAACCACTGCACGACGGGTACGCGCTTCTTACAGCTTACAATGATGATGATGATGATTCGGATGATGATGATGATGATGATCAGATTTGAAAAGTCCAAACGAAAGTTTGTCCCGCAGTTGAAGTCAATTCACTCCAAAGAGCCAAAAAGCAATGTTTTTATCAGACATGCACAAAAATGCGCATCTGAAGAGAACCCATGGAGATTAGAATCCATGACATCCAGGCTTTCAGTTGAACAATAAACCGTTTGGACACGGAAGGCCGATCAGCGGTGTGATTGGCTCGCACTTATGCCACACAAAGCACCAGTAAGGTGTATACTGCTTTTCAGCATTTCATCATAGCTTAGCTTTACATGTAGGATGAAATTTCGATCGGAAGCTCTTGATTGACAACTTGCTGTGGACTATGACTCGTAGTTTACGCCCGCAACTAAAAAGAGTAGCGCTGGTGTTAACACAGCAGCTCATGCATTTTATCAGTTCTAATGTGGACAGCCTTTATTTTCTGTCCACCTTTATTCTTTTCTTCAACATAATTGTACGGCAGCGAAGCATCAGGTTTGAACACTGCTGTCGTACTGTTGATGTTGATAATGATGAAGCTCTTCAATAGAGTTTCGTCCCGCGAGTGGAGCCAGTCTGCTCTGAAAAGCCGAGAATTACTGCATAGCTGTTTCATCCTTACTGTGAATTATCAAGGGTGCGCATCTTCAGAGACTATCGGAGAGTAGTTTGCAGGTAAATCGCATCTAGACAGGATATGGTGATACTCATCGACTTTGCTTGCCGACGTTGTTCCATGTGATTTACTTCGGATCCACAGACATGTTCTCAGTATCCCGTCCGGCTCCGCTTGTACGTATGTCCAAGAGTCTGATGGTTCTACAACTACTGGGAGGCAAATCCATGTGAGATCTCAACCAACTACATGTATTATTCTTGCGTGGAATCATCATCATCATCATCATCATCATCATCATCA